CAGGCTGAAAACTTCACTTCACATTCCCGAGGATTATTAGCATCAGATGCACCCAAAATTATTGTAGATGATTTTGACAGTAATAATGTCTCCCCCAAGATAGATATATATGTATTTTCCCAATAAATAATATTTATGGCTAGGAGTAAAATTATTTTACCTTTTGTGAATTAAAAAAGAGGTTTTAAGAAAGAGGTGATATAAAAAACTCTTAAATAAGATTATTTTAAACAAAAAGTATTGCATCGTTTCCTATTTTACAAAATAACACAAGTTGGTTTTTAATGTCGAATCGTGCCTAGGGATGTGTAGCTTGGTAGGGGATTCAAAATACTTATTGCAAGTGTTTATTATAACCAAATGTTTACAATAAATACTTGAAACACAGCATTAAAAAACAATTAGCAATATTCCGTATAGTTTAGTTCAAATTCTTTCAACAATATTCCAGTTCAAGTTTCAGTCAATATTTTATGTATCTATCTATGTGTAGTCTTCTTTAGCATATAGTATATGGCATATTTCTTCTAGTACCTGTCATATATTCACCTAAGTCGTATCAGAGTCCTAGACCTAGTCCTACCAGTTATTTTTTGTTGTAATTATCACTTTTTTTTAAATATTTATATAGATGCTACATAAATTTCCTCTTCTAATCTACTCGTATTTTCTTAGTAGGTGTACTAGCCACTACCCTAAACCTCCTAGCCTTTATGTTTTTCTCTCCATACCAAGGTTGCCTGTAAGAGATTGCCTCTGAGCGATAAGGCCGCCATTTGTACCTGTCTAACTTAGCTTAAGTTAATCTTTATATATTTATACCTGGTGTACAATAAAGAGATTTATTATTATTATTATCATATTTTACTATGTAACATTAAACAATGATAATATAAAGCTCGAAAAAATGACTATACTTATATCAAAATCATGTTAATAAAGATCTAATTGTATATTATTTCAGTCATGATATACTCGTACCTTATCCTTGAAACAACTTATTGTAACCCTGATCAAATACTACACCCACACCTAAGATATAATCTAATTGATTTATTGTGTTGCTTATCTGACTGAATATCGTAATCATTATCTAGATTAGGCAGCTATATTTTGTTCACTGCGGTGATTCGTACATTAATAAGCGCGTACATATTAATTACCAAATACCAATTACCAAATTTATCAATTCTATGACTAAGGGCAAATCTCCCGGCCATGACGGTCTCAGTATAGAGCATCTCCGGTATGGGGGACCCCATCTGCCAAGAGTGTTGGCACTGCTGTATTCGTTATGTATGACGCACAGCTATATGCCTGGGGATATGCTGCGCACTGTAGTGGTGCCTATTGTCAAAAATAAAACTGGCGATCTTGCCGATGTTTCGAACTATAGGCCCATATCCTTAGCCACGGTTATTTCTAAGGTGTTTGACGGTATGCTTAATATGCAGTTGAATAAACACATCCATCTCCACGATAATCAATTCGGTTTTCGTCCAGGCTTATCAACGGAAAGTGCTATACTGTGTCTTAAGCATACTGTGAACTACTATGCAAAGCGGAACACTTCAGTGTATTGCTGTTTTCTCGACCTGTCTAAGGCATTTGACTTGGTTTCGTACGATATTTTATGGAAGAAGTTGGAAAAATGTGAATTACCGACTACAATGATAAACACAATTAAATACTGGTATGGTAATACAATTAATAATGTCCGCTGGGCAGGTACTTTATCGCATCCGTATGGGTTGGAATGCGGGGTGAGACAAGGGGGCTTGACCTCACCAACGCTTTTCAACCTGTACGTTAACGAGCTGATCGGTGAACTTAGTAGTGCAAAAGTCGGATGTCATATTGATGACATTTGTATAAACAATGTCAGCTACGCAGACGACATGGCGCTGCTAAGTGCGTCGCCATGTGGCCTGCGAAGGCTTGTTCACATATGTGAGAAGTACGCCGAAAGACATGGCCTGGTGTACAATGTTAAGAAAAGTGAGGTCATGGTTTTTGAGGCTAAGGGTGGAGGCCCTAAGGATGTGCCACAGATACTTTTAAATGGGCATCCATTGAAATGGGTATTTAAGTTTCGATATCTAGGGCATATTTTAACTCCTAGCCTCAAAGACGATGAGGATCTGGAAAGGGAACGGAGGGCGTTGTCGGTGAGAGCGAACATGTTGAGCCGCAGGTTTACACATTGTTCGAATAATGTTAAGATCACACTCTTCAGAGCTTACTGCACGTCTTTCTATACGTGCAGCCTGTGGGCTACATATACTCGAAAAGCATACAACTCCCTCCGTATCCAATACAACAATGCGTTTAGGGTGCTGTTGGGGCTACCCCGCTTCTGTAGTGCGTCCGGGATGTTCGCAGAGGCGCGAGTGGACTGCTTTCACACTATTATGCGAAAACGGTGTGCATCTTTGGTGCGCAGGGTGCGGGCTAGCTCTAACAGCATACTAGCCATGATCACAGAGAGGTTAGATTGCAGGTACATTGGTCACTGCAGCGCCGTCTCTCATGGAGTGCATAAATAAAAATATTAATATTGTAAATTGTCACTACTAACATAGGATAAGTTTTATGTATTACTAACAAGCAATGAGTCATGGTTACTCCAATAAAATGATTATTATTATTATTATTATTATTAATATAAACCAGAGGGCGCCTAAAGTCCATATGAATTCATGCACCTACTTATGTTTTATCAATACATTGTCAGTATAAGTTGAACTATATCACTAAACTTTCTGTGCCGTGACAGGTCAATTAAAAATGGTCATTTGGCTGTTTATGCGTTAAAATTTTAGTTAAATTTAATTTCAATTAGCTTTCATTCGGCAGTTTTTTTAATTCATACTTTTAGTTCATACTTTGTCCAATTATTCATGCATTATAACATTGTAAATAAAATAAAATTTTATTGCATTTTAAACAACGGTTTTTATTAAATTTTCCATTTTAAATAAGAAATATCCATCCCCACTTTAATGTTTATTACATAAAGAGGGATAAGATAATATAGGAATTATATAGATTGCTCTTCTTGTTATAGCTTTTAGTTATACATTACAGTTTTTTCCGTATCCGGTTATTTACATAAATTCCATTACACACTCTAAAACTTGTATAAATACATTAAGTAGGGACATACTCTTTAGATAATATATAATTACGTAAATTCAATGCAGTATTTACGATAAAAGATATCAGGCAGGTATCCGTTTAATCAATACCTACATAGATAATGGTAGTCGTTACACCAAAATATACATTTGGACATGCGTCATACTGTATTTCAAGTGCTTTGCGAATAAAACTGATGTATCTGTGTTGTGAATTTAAAACTAGGTCCCCATCCATTTTTTAAGTGGTCTTGATTAGGGCTACTCAAACTTCACTCAGTCACAAAATGTTGTTAAGGCTTCTTTTATACCTACATGTTACCTTAAAGTCATATTAACATCTCTAGACTTAGAAGTACCTGGCATCGTAGTGTTATCAATTTATAACAAGTTATTTACAGATTTCTTTCTTTGAAATACACAAATACACTTAGTTAGTTATTGAGTTCAGTTCAGTTCTAATAACGTATAATTTAATATAATTACATATATAGGAGGAATATAATATGAGAAGCGGTCAAAGTGGCGGGCAATGAGAGAGACCATTATGTGACCAGAAGTGGACTTCAATAGGCTGATGATGATGATGATATAATTTTTTTTTGAGAACTCCGTTTTTTAAATTCGATTAAAAATAAAAAGCTTAAGATTTTTCAGAAGCATTATTATTAAATCCTCATGTATTTGAAGCAGTTTAAATATTCTAATACTTTGCACGCATTCATGTAGAAATGCTTTAAAAACAGACTGTACTTGACAACACCTCGTCGTCCTACTTACCTATACTTATTGAAATCTATAGTAGACACATAGTAAATGTTTTCATCCATACTAATGAACCGGATTAACTTATACATAAAAGTAGTACACACATATTTTTAGTTACAGAATTTTTAATGTTATACTTAATAAAGAAACATAGAGATGCCACTTTTACCACTTACCTATATAATATATATAAAGTTACAATAATTACGTTTTTTGTATTAGTTAGAGTTTTAGATTTCATTTTTACTTTAATAATAATCATTTAAGAAATAAATCTCTCACACAGAAAATGTTTTAGTTTTTTTTTATGAAATTTCCTGCAAACATATTTTACAAGGTGGTCTAATGCCAAAGGCATTTTCTTTCTGTCAAACCTTTGGATATTGCAAAGCTCTGAGTGGTAGGCGTAAATGTTACATACCAGGGACTTCCTTTCTAGGGTATACCTGGTTCCCCGGCTATTAGTACCCGAGACGGCGTGCGGTTTTAGTCGGTTCGAGTCCGACATGCCACCGACAGGTGGTATCCGAGGGGATTTCAGTTACAGTAATTAAAGTTACAGTAATAAACCACTAACAAAGTTATAAACTAATTATACATTTCATAAATGTTTGTATTCATTATACACCATTCATCTGAATATTATGAACTAAATATATATACAGATTTCCAGGGATTCACAAAAAAATGGGGTATCTTTCAGTTAGAAAAACAGGTCTTCCCGAGAATGTCATAGAAACAGCCATTCATTGAGAATTAACTTTTACGTAAGCAAGCCTACAAGCAAAAGCCAGTTGATTTTAATTTCCACAGAGTTGTGCGACTCAAAGTAATGTAGTTGGTCAGTTACTAGCTACTGCGGCCCTTAGTGGTGACCTTGCCGCATAAATATAGACTTGTACAGTGTCGCCAACAACTAGCCGTGTAACAACAATCACGTCTCAGATACGCTTGTCTTATCAAAGAAAATGGCTAAGCGATTACGTTCTAATCGTTTACATCAGTACGTGTGGATGAAAAAGTGTTTACGAAGTATAAAACTGTGTTGGACGTGAACTAGTTACGTTTGTTGTGGCGTTCAGTGTTATTTTCAGAATGTCATCCACTTCATCGCTGGCGGGGAAAAAATGTTAGTGCCACCTATTATTAGTTGTGTTATGTAGTCTGTACTGTAATAAGTTTGTTTGGTTGTGTCATAGTAACAACCAAATATATCAATGTGTCTGTGCTTGTGAAGTGGATAAAAGCAAGTTCTTGTGCTTTCTGAACATAAATGGGTACTGTTTTGAAATAATTTGTAGTAGTGGTATTTTTCTAGGTTTTCAATTGGTTTGATGATATCTCTTATTTATTAATTTTATGAAGACCAAAGGTAAAAGATGTACGTTGGTTTTTGGAAATGAGTTGCTGTTGCCTAGTATCTAGAACCTTGAACTTTCATCTTGTAATTCCTGAACTTGCTTATTTGTATTTTTCATGTTGCTAAATTTAGAATAACAGCTGTGATTATTCTTCAACGAACTAACTTATAACTTATACTCTTTTAAAGTTTTTTTTTTACTTTAGAATTTTATTATTCAAATTAAAAAATGTGTGAATACTGGTTTTATTGCATGTGAATTTGATATCAATTTTTTGTAATTTTTAAACAAATTTCAACTTTGATTTTAAAAAGTAAATCTACATCAATAAATTGAAATTTTTTATACACATAATATGTTTCTCGACAAATATTTGCTCTTTTCTTTAGTTATAACAAAAAATCCCAGTAGCTAGATAATAATACCCTCTAATAATACAATAATAATAACGTAGCTAAAACTACTATCATATTAAAGAATTGGTTTAAAATGTATACAGTTTATCGTTATGTGGGCATACTGTCTTGCGTTGGTAATGTATCGATCGATACAACAGAAATATTTTGTTCGTGCGAGCCCTGTAATTTGTGTCTAGCATTCCAAGGCGTTACTCACTGTTCTTGTTAAAGTATTTAATTAAAAATAAAGAATTTTAATTGGAAAAAAAAAGAATAATTCGTAAATACTTACTGTGTCACGCAAATATTATTACTAGTTTACCAGTAAATTCAAGACGCACACATATTTTTTTCCTTCATTTCACTAAATAAAAAAATGTTTAAACTTTGTTCCCCGTGTTTTATATCAGATACACTAAAATGACAGACACGGTTGTAAAATTGACTCTAAATTTTTAAACTCTATATACTCGTACATTTCATAGTCCAGCTAAAGTTTGGCTAAAATAAAATCTTGAATGAATCTGCTTTACACGTCAAAAGGGATGAATTTCAGAATACATGATTTTAACAAAAAAGTTACTATAAGTAGTTATAAGTAAAGAAAATGAAATTACCATAGAAAATACATGTATGTCACAAACCAACATCATATACATATATAGATGTCTGATCGCCGCTTCCTACTGCGCTAAGTGTTGTGGGTTCGATCGCACTTAGTGCGATCCACAAATTGTTGTCCTGAGTCTGGGTATTCTTTGTGTCGGTTTCGTATTTTTTTTGTAAAGTAACCCGCGACACAATATTATATTCCTAATGCGGGAGTTGCCTTTAAAAAAAGGTATTGTGCTTGTCGACATGCAATCCGCACCGCATAGAATTTATATGCACAATCATTCTCTTGAACACTAAAATACTTTTTAAGTAACTTTTTAAAATTTTGCTCAAATAATAACAGAACATACTGAAATACTAGGGGTTAATAAAACCATGAAATATGAAATAATACATTTTATAATTTTCCAAATCTTGGCCGCACAGCACATTATCATACTTAATAAATTAATGTAACTATAAAACATTGTATGACGACTACGAGTCAAAAATATCGGTGTTTAAAGTAAGAAGACGATAGAGATTTTATCCGTCATCCTAGATTTAGTAATTCGGTTTCTCAGTAGCACTTGTTTTGTCATCACAGCACTTCAGATCGATTTCAGCTGCAGATTTATGTTCGAATAGAAAGTTCTTGATTTCAGCAGCAGACAGATCTAACTTAGTGTGTTTTATGGGTTGTTAATAAACCAACCACTAAAACATCATTAGAGGACTCTAGAAGAATGACAAAGCCCAAGTGACTCAACAAATGTTTCTTATTTCAATAGACAAGACACCGTTTACTATCAGACAACCGCTTGCTTGTTAGTTTACGGTGTCTTTAAAACGCTGTATTATGTTCCAAGTATAGCAGGATGTACCATGATCGCTTGGGCATGAAAACCCTTTAAACGTGATTAAGTAATCTAATAGATTTTTATTTATGCCGTGCCCTTTAACATTTTCCACTTATCAAAGCGATTAAGCAACGTTACACGTGATTAGAAAGGTAAATGCACTATCATTCCACGTAGGTACATAAATTGTAATATTTTTGGATGTGTTTATAGTCCTTTTTTAGTTAATTTCAATTAAGTTGACCTCAAGCAGAAAGGAACAAAAAAAGAGGTTTATCGAATTTAAAGACGGCTATGCATTCAGGAAAACTTATAAAATGTTATTTAAAGTAATAAATTACCTAGTCTTTGAATTTTAGTTGCATTTGTAAACTTTGGATGATTAGAAAGACGACTAATGCTTGACCACAAACTATGACAATAATGTTTAAAGAATAAAAGACAATCATATAATGCACATAAAGCTCATCGTTTCCAGCTTTAGGTCCTTATCACGACCCGTCCAGTCAACTGATGTGTCACGGCTTAATCCACTGAAATTTTACGATAGTAATGGTCAATTCATTTTGATATCAGACATAATTCAGATGAATTATGTAACTAAAGTGCAATAATTATTTAAAGGTTTGAAACGTGGTTTCAAGTACTAGATTTAATGCAGTTAAATTATGATTGGCAGCATGACATAGTTCGTTATTGTTTCTTCTGAGGAAGCCACACATCTCCATCTTGCTTCGAAAGTGTGTAGATAGATTTTCATAATACTGTACTTGTGATTAAGTTTGTTAGCGCGCAAATAATATGCGTTTATCAGTTACCTAAATCTATACTAATATTATAACGAGGTAAAGTCTGTGAGTTTGTATGTTTGGTTACCCCAACTCACAGACTTTACCGCTGGCACTACTGATCCGATTTTGAAAAATCTTTCACTGGCATGTCATCCCTGAATGCTAGACGACCGCGATAACCGACATACACGCGGGCAGAGCTGCGGGCAAAAGCTAGTAAAGCATAAAGTTAAAGGTTAATACTCATTATTCTCTTCCATACCTACGTTATTTTCACTTCTAAGTCTCTTTCAAGTCGGTCACAGGTTTATAAAATGTTTAAATCACTAGTTTTAACATTTGATCTTTAGTGCTGTCCACTAACTACTAACACTAACTACTTAAGTATTCGAAATAATAACACCACTGTAGGTATGTGTAAATTAAATAACTATACTATAAAATATTTATTACAGTAGTACTCAACACGCTTCTCGAAACGGACCACTACGAGAGCCTGATCAAAGAACTGACGTGTAAAAAATGTAATAAGTACATGCGCCCACCCATCCACCTCTGTGTGGATGGGCACAGCTTGTGTGGCAAGTGCATTGAGAAGAGCTTCCAGTGTCATGTGTGTCAGGTACGGTAAAAAAATTATTAGCTTTTTTTGGTATTCTTGCATTTGTAAACAATCAATCAGCTTACTATTGCAATCCAGTGAAATATTGTATCACCATTATCGACTTACACCAAGAGTTAAAAGAAAAAACTGTCATTAAAGGTGGTTGAGCGCTAAACACCAATTCCTAATTGCGACCTTTAGCGTGAAAACAATCCGAAAGTTTTTTTATACTAATAGTATTTTTAACCTAATTATTTAATTGTCCATGTTTATATTTTGTTACTGGGTTTACTTCAATGTACATATACATGCGATTATTTTACTACGGTGTGTAGGTAGCCTGCGTGAAATAGGAAAAGAGATATAACTACAAAAGAGCCAACCTAAAGATGCCGTTGGAACAGGCAGGTTCTCTTCTGTTTCGTTTACTTCCAACTCTACCGTAAAACTGTCAAGTTGTGCGAAATTACTGTGTACTATAGTTTCGTGCCGTAAATATTCCACAGCTCAATCAATTGCATTTTGAATTTAATTATCATTATAATAAACAGTATTCAAAACTTGATTTGAGTTACTGGATACAAAGACTGAAATACTAAATCATGAAATGAGCTATAAAGATATTTAAGGGAGTGTTTAGGTACCCGCCATTATTTTCTTACTATTTATAAACTGTAAGCAGACATTTTGAAAACAGGATTGATAATGAATGCAACATAAGTATAAAACGTTAATATTATATATGGATATGAAAATCCTCGAAAAATTGTTCAATTGTACAAATTAGCAATTGTTTTTATAAAATATCAAGCCAAACAAAACAATCCTATTATTTCCTGTAACTATATTTTTATAACAATTGAATGCTTTTGGGTAAATATCTTTGTGTTTGCTCCATGGTAAATATTGTCTTCGGGAAAATAATAAGACTATATGATAAGAATTTTTATTTTCAAAAGACAAACCTATAGCGGCATGATATTCTAACAGTAAAAAATGTCGGTGTATTGTTTTTCTTATTAATTTAGTGACTAACGATTATATAATTGCTATTAAAATATAATTGGTTGGTTCTGCGTTGTGGTTGTTAAATTTATTAATAAAGTTTAATAATATATCTATAGATAATTTAATGATATCAGACTTAATAATCATATTATTGTCGGTTTTGCTAACTGCAGTATGAATCAAAATATTTTTTTTAACAGCCCGAAAATTATTTTATTTACTGATTTGATAAGATAAAAAAACTGGATTCTTACCGAAAAAGACTTCTAGAAAATAATCAAAGACGATAACTATGCTGCCAAAATACATATCGTGTTATGTTTAAACATCAAACTGTAGGCATAGGTACTCGTAGCATGCGTAACGTGATAATCCTATTCTTTTTTTTACTTTTATTGATACTAAAAATATAGTATTTGATGAGGTGCAAGGCTGAGGCCAAAAATAAATTTCTAGCCTTACTGGAGAGCCGTTACTGTGAGAGTTTAAGAGCTTTGCACTACATTACCATGGAAGCGTTCATGGGCGGCGGTAGTCGCTTTCCATCAGGTGACCCGTCTGCTCGTTGGTCCCTATTCCCGCCCCGTGTCGGTCTATTAATGGAGGAACTCGGAAAAACAATTGCACTAATGACTTAAAAAGGAAAATACGGTCATTCGCATTACGGTCGCTTCATACTTTACAATAATTATTGAGTTATACTCGACTAACTTAAAAAATTTACTTGAAAAAGTACAAGGGAAAATATTACATACTATTTTTTTGTAATTACATAGTCATAACATAATATACATACATACAAAGGTTGGTCGTGTTCGTTTGTCCGCAGCTTACCTTTAAAACTTTAAGTGTATATTTTCTCGTAGTCGAGTCTTTCACGTATTCAAAATAACGGGAGTGTGAAGACTATTTTTCAGTTTAGTGATCCACTTAATAGTTTTTGTTTGAGTTCAGTGTCCGCCCTCTTACCACCTCCATACAAACTAAACTGTTGGCTTAAAACCTGTTTAACATTCATGATCGTAGTAGATTTAACAGATTTGGAATGAGAAGTGTTATGGCAAACTTAGTGTTATTTTATAAGTAGGACAATTTTTCCAAGTTATAAAATGTAACTACTATGAAAATTTCGTATTAAAAATAAAGGTTGGAACCAAGATCTCATATTAATGAAGACTAGTATTATTCGTAACAGTACGACGTAAGATTATTTTGAATTATTTTTTATTTCTTTTTACGTTTAATTTTTCATTCATGTTAACAATAGAGCTTAAATACTCCTACTGTGAGTGAAAAAAATATTAAAACAAATACGATTTTTCTTCCTAAACTTGACACGAACAACATACCAACCCGTCTGGTCAGCGTGGTATAGTAGGCCAAAACCTCCTTTCTAAGAAGAAGTCTATATCCAGCAGTGGACTACTAAAGGCTGTTGATAAAAAAATGATAACATAACTAAAAACAGGATGTCAAACTGATTTTAAATTATTTAAAAAAAATATAAAGATAATAAGGATATTTTTTAGCCGAAAATCGATCTAAGTGGAGTGCAATGGGAGACCTATGTCCAGCAGTGGACTGCGTTAGGCTGATGCTGAAGGATATTTTAGTTAGCCGTATGATGTTTTTACAAATTTTCAAATTTAACTTTTTTTATGATATAGGGGGCAAACTAGCACATGCTTCACTGAAGGTGAACCGTTTGCTTGTTTTGCCTATTGACATCTGCAACTGAAGACCCAAAAGACACTAGTGCGTTGCCATCCTTTGACTTTCACTTCAATGGTGTACGAGGTTTACTTTTACTAAGATATTAATAAACTCAACTTGTTTTATTTAAGAAGGAAGAGAAGCCGTGTTAAAACATTCACCCGCAAAATCGTTTTTTTTTTTCATTGGAAATTTTTAAATATTTTGAAGGGCTTTTTGTAATAAAGTGTGAGCGTAACAACCGAAATGTGCAGACTTAGAAAAATTGTTCGTTTCATCAGAAATCATAGCAAGAATACTGTTTTAGTTTTACTAAAGTTATGTTTTCTATAGTGAGAGGAAACTTTAGGGCTTCATAAACAGAAGCTTCGTAGTTTCCTTTAGTTATGAACAGTTTCAAAAGTTATATTAAACTGAAACTAAACTGTTTACAAGGCTTACTTAAAAAAGAGAAATCGTAAAAATCGAATAATTAAAATACGCTTAAAGCTCGTCGTCTAAAGTATGTTAACAGCTACCATTTTCACTGCGTGAAGCAGTTTTACATGCTACTTCTGAATAAATTATAAAATTATTATGTTTCATTATTCATAAGAAATTTGTATTCAAAATTTAATTTCTTCAAAACCTTAATACACATATATAATACAGACGTAGGTTTTATAAGCTGAGTACAAAAAATCGTGCTCTTTTCTTCAAAACTTTTTTCTTCAAAATCCTTAACTGGAATTTTAAAGGTTAACTCCACAATACAATGAAACGTTTGAACCAATATGATAAAACCATAACATGGTTAGTAACCAAACTGACGAAATGCAGTACAAACACAAACATTTAACATGAAACAAACATTTTGATGAACTTCATTGAAAATTGTAGATTCCATATTTCAACACCGTGACGACGATAACTTATATACTTTGAAATTCCATTACATGTGTTAAAAGGAAATTTATTCTTAAAATAATGAACATTTATCAGATGAACATAGAAATAATATAAAATTTCATTTTTTCAGAAAGAGTTCGCTTCCATTCGACCAGTTGCGTTAGAGTCATTGGCGAATAAAATACTGTTTCCCTGCACGAACAAGGGATGCCCAAAGCATTCGGTACTATCGCAGCTAGATATTCATAACACACACTGCCAGTTTCGTATCATCAATTGCTTTATGAGCAGAGTGTACGGTATGTTGAAATTAAATGAATACGTATATTTATGTAGATGCATAGTTTAGATTGCCCATTGAGACTTATTACAACAAAAATCCAATATTTTATTCTTTATCTTCAATATTTAACTATTCATTTATATTTATATATCTATCTTAATAACGTCTATCCATGCACTTACATAAAAAAATGTCCGTAAAACTTTATTTCAATAATAACAAATGTTCAGAGTAATTTTGTGAACGGATATAAATTATTTAATTGTATGACTTGATCTACATTCGATTACATTATTTTTAAATCAATAGAGAGAGAGAAAGTTTTATCTAGATAGCAATTACATAATAGTGAAAAAATATAAGTATGTTTCTTTTCAAAGACAAAAGGTTTACTTTGATTTCATTTAAATCATTTAAAGCAAAATAAACGAAAGCGCTTTTTATTCTAACACCTTGTTTTCAGGTGAGTGCAAATGGAAAGGGTGTGCTGGTGATTGGATGGACCATTGTTTCCAGGAACACTGTGATAAGGTCACCGATCTCCCTTTCATAACGGTGAAGAATAAATGGGACGCAAAGAGAACCGAACCTGTTCTTAACTACTTTCTTTTAAGATGTTACGAAAAAGTGTTCAATGTGTATCAAATTTATGATAAACGGGGAGGTAAGGATATTTTCATTATTACCGTTAACATGATGTAATTCAGATATCGAATAATACCATCTGCCAATCTTTTATAGAATTTGTATGACAGGTGTAAACTCCTTGGCCTATCATCCGTTTTTATGTCATCGTATCTCTTGTAGAAAACTCTATTGAACTCTATTGACGGATCAAGAACATATTCCCTACAATGAAGGTTGTTCTCTTATCGTTATAATAGACGAGAAACCTGTATATTGATTTTAAATTTAGTATAAATTAGTTTAAATAATATAAACTTGAGGGATACGATACGATATGATACGAATTGACTACTGATGGTTAAGAAATATGGTTATAACACAAACATTTTGACTGTGAACTGGAAGTAATAATTAGTACTAATTTTATAATGTGTACGTACGTGCACGTGTACCTACTTTAACTTATAACAAGTTAAGTAGGTACACGTGTTCTATTTATGATTACAACAATGTAAACAACAAATAGATTTCCTAATAACGAACTCAGATAAATACAAAGAAGAAGATAACGATAAACCGATGATCTTAGGTAATTCAAAGAGTGAACACGCGTGAACTTGTTTTTAGTCCTTGGCATAAGTACAAGTATTAAGTTATCTTTCACAAATAACGGCTGACAATTACCGCAAATAATTTTCAAACATTTTGAAAAAAGGTATTTTGCAGTGGTTATGCAAAGTTAATAAAGCAATAAGGGAATCAATTAGTCGAGAAATGCTCAACTATCAACAAAAATAGTTGTCACCATCAAAGTAAAATGTTATCATTTTATTAAAAAAACTTTTATATAAATACGTATTCAGTAGTTAATTATTCATTATTAGACAAATAAATTGTCGTATGTGTGACAAGTAATCTGTTTTTTTAAAACGAATAAGACTGACTGACTGACTAAGACTCTTAAAATTATTTTCTTTAATAGTTGAGTATATCCGTGTGGTGACGCATTAAGAATACAGAGCGTTACCACCCCTATTCATCCGGTAAGTGTCGTAAGAGCCGACTAAGGGAGCAAACTCTGCAGGACAATAGCACTGCAAAAAGAAGGAAAACTTGAAACAAACCCTATACCAACAAGGCCAGCGTGGTATAGTTGGATAAAACCTCCATTGTAAGGAGAGGCCTATGTCAAGGCCACACACTATGTGACAGGCCTATGTCTATGACTGTTAGTGGCTCTAAAATCTGATTTATTAAATTATATTTTAAATTGTGTGAATTAATCAAAACACTTAATGTCTTTCGTGAACTTCTATTCAATAACGCAATGCATTAGGTAAGACGAATTATATATACATTCCTATTAAGTTAAGATATGACAGAGTGTCAACATAATTAGCTCTATAATTACATAAGCTTTAATCAATCAATCAGCATTTTGTTGTCTACTTCTGGACATAGGCTGATTGCCTATATCCAGAAGTTGATACGCATACGTTGATATGCATGCCCCTTAAGGCATTTGAGCTTCCGTTTCCCGATTTGTAAGAAGTAGGTAATACGTGTAAAGTACGTGTATTTATTAGTAGTAGGTTAAACCTCCTTTCTAAGGAGAGGCCTATATCCAACAGTGGACTATTAAGGGCTGTTGATGTAATGTATGTGATGTGATTTGTATTTATTATAGGCAGAATGATGTGGACTGTACTGGTGAACGATGAAAATGCCGAGAAATACTATTTTGAAATAGATATATTCTTGCCTAATTTGCCAAGCAAAAGGATAACTTACAGGCAAGTATTAATTTTTTTATTTATAAATAAAATTTCCGCTTTATTGCCATTAACAAATGGTACTGTATAAGAAAAAAATATGTGTGATCTTTGAAATCACAAATGTTTTTTTTACATTTTCCTTAAACTTCTAATGGGCTAATGAATCTTCCTTTCTATGTAGATATTTTTAATTGGCTTCAATGACGTGCGTCGTTATTAATTCCCGAATGTGTTTGTAGCTGGTTATGCTTACATGTATATGTGTGTGTGTCTACCAACAAAATTAAAGTAGGTACAACAACACACAAGTACAACAGTAAGAGACGCTGAAACGACTGACATTAAAATTCCAACTACAGCGTATTCTCGATATTCTTTTACTTTGAGAGAGTTAAAGGCATACGATATAGCAGGTTACGTCACTTTAGCCTTTTATTTACAACACCTGGGAAATTGTAATACAGACTACAAACAATATTAAATAAATCTTTACAAAAAAATAATTAAAATGATGATAAATTGGTAGCCGAAGCATCTAAGCAATATAAAAACTTTAGCAGTGGTATTTTCTAACTACTTTCCATTCTTCTAATATTGAATTTCTACCCTCCAGAATAGGTATTTTGGTATGACACCTAGGATAGGTAATAAGAATACCTAATATTCACAGTGGAAATTTCACCCTTTCGTTCAAAGATCTTTGTATAAATATACATATCGTCCGATGAAAAGGTGAATTGTAGCATTACTACAACTACTATGTAATAATATTAAAATGGGTCATCTACATACATAAGTCAAATATTGTCAAACATTTATTCTGGTCTAATGGAGGCTTTCAAATTATTGCAGGCGCCCATGCAAGTGTGAGAAAGATGCAGATTTCTTGGAGCACACACAGAACGTGTACATTCCCGTTGAAAATGTATTTTCTATGTTAGATGAAGACGAACAAATTAACTTTATCGTTAGAATTGGTAAGAGTTTCTTTTTATGTTTCTATACCCTTACATTAACATAGCATGTATAAGGTTAAAGGTTGCAGCAGACAGCGGGCGCAGCTACGAACTATAACTTGCTAAATTTATCTAAAACTAACTTATGTGTTGTACACACGTCCTTTAAGAAATAAAGATAAGACCGGATGAAAGTAAAAATCTTGAAAAATTAAATGCACTGAATTTCAGACTATACAGAAAACTCTGAAGTTATACCTTCGTGGGTATTTTAATATCGAAGGTTTTATGGTTTTTTTCCGTAATCTACACATGAACATTAAAAAACATACGACCGATGATCAAACTCGCACCGCCGCGCCGTGGAAACGGCTTTATTCAGATAGTATAACCATTTGGCGTATATTGCTGAACCTTACTAATTTTCAAACATACATACAAAGTTAATATAAGTTGTTATATTATATAATTATTTTACATAGTCGTCATTATTTGTTACGTAAATTATAAATAATAATAATTGATTTTCGTTTGTTCCCTTACAATATTTCGAATGAATTTTGTTACAAAAGAGTTATGGCATATAGATTACAATTACGCTGTGACATTTTTGTAACAAAGTTCTAACACAATTTTGCAGGTGAAGTGGAAAATTTGCCCTTGTTCAACGCACCCACTGCAAGTGAGAGTATGATTCTTCTCCATGACGAGGATCACGGAGACACGAAACAAGAGTAGAAAATGCAAAATATAATACAAGTAGTCACTGTGGGATAAGGATTTTTGTATTGGATGATACAGGGATCAATAAATTTTACTTGATTTTGTCTTTTAATAACCAGCTCGTAGTTTTAATAACAGTTAATATAGAACGATGGTCATCTGGGATCGACTAGGCAAATATATATCTTGATGCACATTCAGATAAATACTGGATTTAAATTTCTTAATTGTTAAATTATAAATGCATAGTGTTATCTAACAATTTGTACGACAACAAGTTAAATATAAACCTGTCATCCTTTCAAGAAGTAATTTATGCATTGAAATTTTCGCAAGTATTCTTCAAGCTTTTATTATTAACTGGCCTACTGCGGTCCAGTTATTGTAATTTCCTTAGGGAAACCTTTTGCTTGGAAGAGAGCAGATGAATATGTGTTTTTTACTCGTATCACCCGTATCCTTGCACCTCACGTAGTCAAGTTGTTATATTTTGACAGAATATAGTATTTTAAATAAAATTTCTCGTATTATTTTAAACTGGTAATAAAAATAAATCAAATAGTATTATATATTATTCAGTGTAGCTAATAGTTATAAAATGCTATGTGTGTTAAGCTCATAGCATTACGAATGAAATGACGATAAATCTAAAGTAAAAAACAATCAGTATTTGGCACTAAGGATATTGATGGAATAATTAAAACTTAATGTTACCGTGGAAGAGCCATGCTTCTGCATGAATGGCCAGGCTCAACCGGAGTGAATGGCGGCATCACAGAAAACAAGTGTTAAGCAATTCTTTCATGGCTTTTTTACCAAGTTAGTGACGTTACCGGAGACCAAACACCTTCCCTCCCTCCTGTGACTCCCCCTGACAGAGTAGAACGTGTCCATGGGCGGCGGTTTACCATCAGGTAACCTGTCTGCACTTTTGCCTCTCTTTACCATAAAAAAAATGATTCCGCGAAAATAAGGAACAGTTTTTCAAGCAAAATCAACTATATACACATTACACACAATGCTCATCAAATTTTGTTTTTAAAAAGTAACAACGTGTAAGCAAGTTTCTCAGTTCAAAATAAAATGTTGATACCTAGAAGTGACTAAAGCTTTAACTAAATTTTCTGAGCATTGACTCGTGATTTATTTTAAGCCAATCGCAATCAATAATTTCTTATGTAGTCCCATTAATCTTGAAGTCATATTATAAAGCAATTAGAAGTAACATTGGATCTGTCTTATTAAGAACACTTTTTAGTGTCTGTTGAATTTTTTTGACTTTGTACAAGTTTAATAGATACAAAACCGTTTGAATATAAACTATATTGCCACAAATAATAGCTGCAAAACTATAATTTATGTACAAAAAATGTTACATATGTACAGCATAATTACCGCATACTTATGTAATGTCTCAAGGAAAGTTAACCATAATAGAGAAAACGTAAGATTTGCTTTCACGATCGATTGAGCACGTGCCATTTTAAAGTAACAATACGATCATATCAGCGATGTAAACTCGTACACGTTGCTCACTTTCTTTTTATGCTTCACACCACAGTTCGAAGTTAACGAACTGAAAATTTTGTGCAGAAATAAAACTATATTGACGCTGCAATCGATCTCCCACACAAGCCATTAAACTTTAAGCGAACGATAGAATATATTGGAAATAGCAAACGGGACAAGGCAAAATATTCCTTTGAAACTATTCTTCGCTCAGACTTCATTTGCGAAGCTTTGTAAACTTTTGGTTTGTTCCGTTTGATGACTTGTGCAGTGTTTGCATAAATATTTATTTACACAGTAGTGCCCGGGGAACCTTGGCTTCTCAGAAAACACGCACGTACTCGTAACTTCTTTTGCTTACCTATGATATTCTTGTGGCAATGTTTGTACGACTAGAAACCAACGCAAACTATTTGCTCCGTTCCTATTTTCTAAAATGGGAAATATGTATGTATAACTCCTTTTAATGTTTAGAAAATATTTCTTTCTACCAATACTGATAAACGTGTTTATTTTCATATTTTTTAGCGGTTATTAGTTAAGTCACTCGCTGAAAATTACAAATTAAGTTTTAAAACAGTATCAAAACATTCCGATTTCATTAATAAACATCGCAATTATCTTCATCAACGGCTTTCTGTTAAAAATGTACCTACAAGCTGAGTTTTAATTGGCATATTTTACAAAAATGTTCCGTGTCGCTGAAAATCATGTTGTAAATCATGCCACAGAATTATGGAACCATGAAATTTATTACATTGCGTCCGCTTGCAAATTTTCGTCATACAATAATTCTTGATGTACAAATTTATTCAAATTTCTTCTCTTTTTTCGGGTTACTGAATAGTTAATTATCTGGAAGCAAGGCAATTTATAACTAAGGAATAAGTAGTATGCGGATTTGTATTTATAAATACAAATCCACCCTATTTTGGTCTTTGGTATGGTTCATATTTATTTTATTATACTTACAATAAAATACCAAAATTGTGCATAAATTTCTTATTGTTTCGACTGCAGTTACAAAATAATAACTGTTTAAATTTTAAGAGTTAAATGTCAAACTGACTGCAACAAGTATTAAAACAGTATTAAAGTTATAAATTCAATAGGGAACTAGCTTGGCACTTGTTATTTTGAAATCTAGTACTAAATATTCGGACATAATTATATTATAATACTTAAGTCTTGTATTTCTTATCTAAAGTAGGTAATAAGAAAACCAAACTAAGCTATCAGGTCGGTCTATCATTACAAGTTGTCAGTTTTGTATAAAAACAAGTCTATCAAACCCTTATTCCAGAAAGGCCTAATTCAACAACGTTAATTTTGCGTGAAAACAGAAAATCTAATTTACTATCCCTTTTCCAGCAACTACATAAATATGTATATATATTCCTGAGTCATCATCATCATTATCTGAGCCGAAAAACGTCCACTGCTGGACATAAGCCAAAATATTATTATTCCTGAGTCCTGATATTCAATATTTTGGTGAACACCAAAAGTCATATTGTGACAGTAGCTTTCGTATATAAACGACAACGTCTATATGTCGTAATATATCACTGAAAACCATTGTTTCATATATGACAATGCATTCAATATGTATTGTCGAAAATAAAACAATGTACATTGAAAATGTACATGTAAAATAAAAGAGAATTATGTCGAATATTTTTGCCATTTTGTTATCGTCATGTATTTATACATATTAATGAAGCTCTCAGAAACAATAAACATATTTGGACTCTAAGAGGTATCACATTTTGGAACATAATGTCATTACATATTTTTACTTTGATAGGTTGACAAATAATTGCCACAACCTATCAAAGTAAAATTATTGACTTGATTTTTACATTATATTATTTTGACAGGTACAGATATTATTGATGATGCATGAAAGAAAGTATTATATATTATGTATTTATATCAGTTACCCATAGTACAAGCTCTGCTTAGTTTGTGACTAGATGGCATTGTATGAATATGAAAAAATATTATTATTATATGTGTGCGATGTTCATATTGTTATATATTTATGCTCGTGATGTCACTATGATATATTTGATATTTATTCTGTTCAACGAATAGTACGATACAATTAGGCGCGACTGAGATTCTCTTCAGTTATATTATCTGTATTTTGCAAAGAGCATCTTAAAGCTTATACTCACATCACTTTGAGCACTAGAGGCATGTGAGCCTTAAATAAGCTACATCTCTACTTATCTGACCGATTAAAACTTTGAGGTCTAGTGCTCAAAGTGAAGTGAGTATGAGCTTTGACATGCTCGTTGCAAAATACAGATAATATAACCAGGCAAAAAGATATAAACGTATTTTACCCATTTGTCATAATATTTTGCCTCCTCCAATTAAAAGTTATGTCATGTAATGACATACGGAGCCGAAACGTGGACACTTACGGTACGGCTGGTTCACAAGTTCAAAGTAGCTCAACGTGCTATGGAAAGGGCTATGCTCGGCGTTTCTCTACGGGATCGCATCAGGAATGAGGTGATCCGGCAGAGAACCAATGTCACCGACATAGCCTACCGGATCAGCAAGCTGAAGTGGCAGTGAGCTGGCCATATTGACGACCGAATGGCGTAGTGGTTTGTGTAACGGACTGCTATTCCAAAGGTCGCGGGTTCGATTCCCGCTCAAGTCAAGCATTTGTGTGCATGAACATTTAATGTTTGATTTGGTCTGGGTGTTTCTATGTATAATATGTATGTATTTACAAAAAAAAAAAAAAGTATATATGTATTTATATCAGTTGTCTAGTACCCATAGTACAAGCTTTGCTTAGTTTGGGACTAGATGGCGTTGTGTGATTGTGGTAGAATATTATTATTATTATTATTTCTTTATTTCATTCTTTATACATATAAATTACATTTTTAAATATATTTATATACAATAACAAAAAATAAAATACATTTAAAAATATAAAAAATAGTATCCCATCGGTATCGGGTACAGAGACCAAGATATCGGTGGTTAGGACTCCAGAGACAGAAACTTCCTCACAATACGTGCCGTATCGAGAAGAACTGCTTTCTGCATCAGACCCTTAATCCAACTGCCTAACGCGAGCCTCTGAAGATGTTGATCGAGGCTCTTAGCAACTAATCCATGGGCCGATATGACTATCGGTACAACGATTGCCGAATCAATATCCCACATGTCGACAATCTCGTGGGCTAAATCCAAATACTTCACTTGTTTATCTTTTTCAGCTTTCAAGAGATTGTCGTCATGTGGAATGGTAATGTCAACAATCATTGCTCGGCGCTCCAATCGGTCTATTACCACTATATCAGGTTTATTGGCAACTATAGTCCTGTCAGTGATAATAGGGCGATCCCAGTACAACGTTGCACGACCATTTTCAAGAACTGGGTCGGGCACATATTTGTAGTACGGTAACTCTACAGTCACAAGGTTATACTTAAGAGCAAGTTGCTGATGGACAATCCTGGCCACTTGGTTATGTC